AGGGCACACACCATGGCAGGATGATGCAGGGCACAGGGCATACACGAGTGAAGGATGGTGTTGTATGGCACAGGGCACACGCTATGGCAGGATAATGCATGGCACAAGGCAGGATGGTGCATGGCACAGGGCATGCACCAGTGCAGAATGATGCATGGCACAAGGCACACACCATGGCAGGATGGTGCATGGCACAAGGCACACATCAGTGGAGGATGATGCATGGCACAGAGCACACACCAGTACAGGATGGTGCATGGCACAAGGCACACATCAGTGGAGGATGATGCATGGCACAAAGCACACACCAGTGGAGGATGATGCATGGCACAGAGCACACACCAGTGCAGGATGGTGCATGGCACAGAGCACACACCAGTACAGGATGGTGCATGGCACAGAGCACACACCAGTGCAGGATGGTGCATGGCACAGAGCACACACCAGTGCAGGATGGTGCATGGCACAGGGCACACACCAGTGCAGGATGGTGCATGGCACAGGGCACACATTGGTGGAGGATGATGCATGGCACAGGGCACACATCAGTGCAGGATGATGCATGGCACAGAGCACACATCAGTGCAGGATGGCACAAGGCACACACCATGGCAGAGCATGGCACTGGCAGGACCCACCGGCCGCGGTGGGTACGTACCGTAGGGCACTCTGGCGAGCGGAGCGGGCGATGCTGCTGCCGAAGGGCACGGGCAGAGCGCTGGGGGGCTGCAGATCCTCGATGGACCTGCTCCAGGCGCGCAGCTTCTCCAGCGCGCCGTCCTCACCTTCCAGCCCCTCAAAATCCAACCTGGCACACGGGGAACGGACGGGAGCACACAGGAAAGGGGGCACATGGGGAAGGGGGTACACAGGGATGGAGCACAGAGGGAAGGGGGCACACAGGGATGGAGCACACAGGGATGGAGCACACGGCTTTGGCGCAAAGCAGCAGCAGCCACCGCAGCAAGCGCTGAAGCGGGTGGCAGCAGCGGAGCAGGGGGAGGCGCAAGGAGGGCCCCAGGACCCCCAGCCCGGGTGGGCAGGATGGGGACGAGCATCTCGTGTCCCTCCAGACCCCATGGTGCTGATCAGGGGCTGATAGGAGGGAATTGCCATGTGGCACCCCCCAGCATCCCAAGCTCCCCCCACAGCACCCCACTCACATGACGGCGCACTGGGCGAAGGACAGGTAGTTCACCAGCACATCCAGCCCCTTGTTCTCATCATTGAGGAACTCACGCACCCACCTACAGCATCGAGCACCCATCAGAGCCCAGTGGAGCTGGGGACTCCCCCACTCCCGCTGTGATCCCCTCATCACCACCATAGGGAACCCAGCACAGGGGGGTGCTGAGGGGGTGTCCCGGGCTCAGCGGCCGTTGCAGCCCCCTTGGCTATCAGCGGTTCCAGCCCCGGGGAGCTTTATCTGTTGGCTGCAGGGCAGGGAGGGTTCGGGCCCGCGGGAAGCTGAGCTGGGAGCTGGGGGAGAGCACCCCGGGGTGGGATGGGGCACTTGGGGTGCCCTCGGAAGGGCGTTGGGATGCAAGGGATGGGCACATGGGGAGCGGGTCCGTGTGCACAGGGAGAGGCTGCACCCCGGGGGGCTGGATGTGAATGCAAGGCCTCAGGGGACCCCACGCCTGCCTGCGCCCTCCCCGTTCCCTGCCTGCAGCCCGTGAGTCAGGCAGCGGTGGGAGCTGGGGGGGGGCTCCCGGGGGCCGCCCCTTTCCTGCCGGCGCCAGCCCCTCGCCCCAGCGCGTTTCCTGTCTCCGGCTGCTGCTATTTTCGGGCCGTGGTTGGGGAAGAGCCGAAAGCCGCTGCCGCGCTGGGGCCGGTGGCGGGGCTCAGCCCCCGCCCGTGCACGAGCGGCCCCGCGGACCCCCGGTAACGGAGCCCCCCCCCCTCCCGGTGCCCGGAGCAGCTCCCACACGGGGCGGCACCGGCGGCACCCGCCTGCAGCATCCGCTCCCGCGACCTGCGGCGGCAGCGCGGGTCCCGCGGCACGGCCGGGGCAGGAACCGGAGCAGTTCCTGCAGCGCCTCCGGCTTCCCCTGCAGCTGCGGCTCTGCCGGGCCGGGACCACGCACACCCCCCCCACCGCGGACTCCAATGAACCCCCCCGGGAGCCCGGACTCACCCGATGTGGTTTGTCCTCAGGCTGATCTCCAGCTCCCGCAGGACCTTGGTGGACTCCTGCACCCTCCTCCTGAACTTCTGGGGGCAGAGCAAGGCTGAGCCGGCCCCCCCCGGCTCCTGAGGCCTCCTGAGCCCCCCCAAGACCCCCTCTGCAGCCCCTCACCTTCCTCGTGACGCCCGGCTCCAGGAAGCTCCGTAGCTTCTGGATGTAGGCATGGGGGGGGCTCTTGACCTGGAACCGCTCCTGGAGAGGACACGGGGGTGTTGGTGGCACCAGAACGGCAGCAGAGCCTCCCATAGCCCCCCATGGACCTGCCATGGACCCGCCATTGCCCCTCATAGCCCCCAACCTGGTCGCAGATGAGGTCCCACTTCTTCTCGTTGTCGTACTGCCGCAGGAGCCGAGCTTTATCCGGGGGCAGGTTCATGGAGCTCTGGGGCAAAAGGGGGGATGTCACTCCTGGGGGACATGGGGACACTGCCACCCGCTGAGGACACAGCCAAGGACCCTGGCACTGGGAAGCCCATGGGGACAGCGGTGTGGCACAGGGATAGTGGCACAAGCAGCAGTGTGACACGGTGACAGCAGTGCCACCAGGGCCAGGCGCCAGCCACCGGCTGCACCAAATCTCGCGCATCCTTCCTGTCTGCTCCCGCTTCCTTGCCGCAGAACCACAGCCTCTGGTCCCTGAGCGCGGTGCCCAGGGCACCGGGCATCTCGATGGTGGGGACCGGGACAGGGACACGAGGCATCTCCCGGACCAGCAAGGACACAAACGGGATGCTCCGGCGGCAAACGGGGGTGCGGGATGGCGCTGTCCTGGCGATGCCACCCCGGAGGCGGGAGGTGCCGTTACCGGGATCCGGTCACCGCCGCAGCCGGGTGATGTCTTCGCTCCACCCGCTCCATGGCAGCTAAAATTATCCCTCCCTGGTCCCCCTCCGGGCCCCGCGAGCAGCAGGAAACCGGGACAACGCCTGGGCGAGGCCGGGCACCCCTGGGCAGGGGACAGCGCCGGGGGGGGTGGCACCGGCACCACCACCACGGGGACCCCCAAAACGTGAGCGCTGCCCCCGTCCCCAAAGGGCCCCGCTATTGGCACACGGCGAGCACCGGTAAAACGGGGCCCCAGGGGACACCCCGGGGCTGGTGGAGGGGACGAGCAGGGGCCCCCGCCGGGGGCACCGGGGGCGGCTTTGAAGCGCAGCCGCCCTCACCGGCATTCCCGCCGCTCGCTTCCTGCCTTTGTGGTGGGAGCGGGGCCGCTCCCGGCCGGGCACTTCCTCCGCCACCGCCCCCCCGCACCGGGGACCCCCCCTCGGTTGAATGAGCCCCCCCCCCGGGAGACCATCCCGGGACACCGGGGCTGGATCGTCCCCGGCTACCGGCGCTGCAGCCCCAGCCCGTGAGGAGCAACCGGGACCGGGGGAGGGGGAAAACGACAGCACCGGGGTCCCCCAGTGCCACCCCCCAAAGTGCCAGATTCCCCCCCCGCCATCGGCCTCGCCCGGCAGGATGCGCCCCCCCCGCCACCGGCCCCACCGGGACCGGCTCCCGCATCCGCCCCGCGTGGGACGTGGGGACCCGCAATGGGTTCCCCTGGCACGGGGGTGCCGGTGACCTCCCGGTACCCCCCGCTTCCTGCTCCCAGGGCCACGCTCGGTATTTCCTGGCCGGCCGTGGCTTCTGCCACCACCGGGAGCCCTCGGTGTCACCCGGCCCGGGTGGCCCTGCCGCCGCCTCCCATCCCTGCGGACCGGTAACCGGGAACGCGGTGCCCTCCGTGACAGCGGCGCTGCCGGGGTTACCGCAGAGACGGCCCCGGTACCGGGTGGCACCGCAGCCTTGGCCGGTGACCGCAGCGCGGAGGCCACCGCCCCGGCCGGGATTGCGGCACCGGGACCGCGCAGGGACCCGCACCCAGCCGCGTCCGCAGCCTCGACGGGACCTTCCCGGCAGCAAGCCCCGGATACCGAGGGCCTCCCCCGCTGGCACCGGGAGCGGCGTCACCCCCCGGGGGTGTCCCGGGACGGGCTCCCCCCCCCCCCCGCGGCCGCTGCCCACCCCCGCGGCACCGGCGCTGCCCGCCCGCCCCCGGCTCCTCCTGGCGCCGGTGCCCGCCCGCAGCCGGACGCCGGGAGGGGAGCGCGGCGCGGGGGGGGTTCGTCCCCGGCGGGCGCAACGGGAGGGGTCGCGGGTAGGGGCGGACCGGGAGGGAGCGGCGGGACCCGGAGGAGGAGCCCCGGGGACCGGGAACGGAGCTCGGGGAAAGCGCAATGGAGAACGGGGCGGGGAGAACGGGGAACTTGAGGGGCGCAGCAGGCGCCCGGGGCCGCGGCGGGGATCGGGGTCTCACCAGCACCAGGGCGAAGCGCTCCTCCAGCTCGCAGGGCTCCGGCATCGGCATCTTGCCCGGGGCCAGCAGCCCGGGCCCCCCCGGCGCCGCCGCCGCCGCTCCCGGTCCCCGGGGCAGCGCCTCCCCGTCCGCGCTCTCCACGTTCCCCATCCCCGGCCCAGGCACCGGGGGGCGGCGGGGGAGGCTCTGCCCGTCGCGTCCGGCCGCCACCGCCTCCCGGACCCGCCCCGCCCCGCCCGGCCCCGCCCCGGCCCGGAGAGCGGCTGCGCCGCCAGGGGGCGCGAAAGGACGGGCAGGCTAACGGCGGCTCCACCGGGGGGCGCTCAAGAGGAACGGCATCCAGTGGGGAGGTACCGATTGGCTCGGCGACGGCTACGCCGGCCAATGAGCGTCGCGCTTCTGTGCGGGGGAGGCGGTGTGTGACCAACTGCCGCTCTCGGGCGCGGCCGGCCGCCAATGAGCGTCAGCCGCTCCTCGCCCCGCCTCACCCCCGGGGGCGGTTGTTAGCCAATAGAACGAAGCGGAGGGCGGGCCTGGGGGCGCGCTGGCCAATGAGCTGCGGAGGCGTGGCGGACTGGGGACCGTTCGAGGCCTGGCACGGACGCGGAGCCGCGCAGGTGAGGGCGGCGGCGGCGGCGGCGCGGGGGGCCCCAGTGGGGCGCGGGGGGTAGGCACCGGGCAGCGCCCGCCCGAAGGGGCCGCAGGGGGGTAGGGGGGGTCCCGGCGGCTCCCACCCCTCCAAGGCCCTCACCGGGGGGGCCTGGCCCAGCCTCGGCCGCTCCTGCGCCCCCCCCCAGGCCCCGCGGCCTGGTCCCGGCGGTGCCGGGTCCAGGAGGGCACCGGGATGGGGGGCTCCGGGTGCGGGTCCCGGTTCCGCATCGGGCGGGGACGGCACCGTCGAAACCGAAAGGGCCCCGGCCCTGGGCCCTGCCCCGGTGCCGCCCCCCTGCTGTGGGGCAGGCGGAGGCCGCTGAGCACTGCGGAGCCCCCCGGGGGCCCCGTTACGGGGCTCAAAGCCGCTTCCCAGCTGTCGGCAGCTTCCGGGGGGGCCGGCCCTCCCCGGGACACCCTCAAGGCCCCGCAGAGCTTGCACCAGCTCCTGGGGGCGTCCCCCTTGGCTCCTTTATCCCTGTGAGGGCTCCAATGGGGTCCCCCTGACCCAGCGCTCCCCCTGCAGCTTGATCCCAGCCCAGCGGCCGGCGGCCCCCCCCTGCCCGGCGCCATGAACGTCTTCGACCGCAGCATCAACTTGGACGCGCTCTTCAAGTTCTCCCACATGTGAGTAAATTGGGGGGGATTCGGGGGGGGGGTTCCCTCCTGCCAGCCCCTCACTGTCCCCCCCCCCATCGCCTGCAGCTCGGCGTCCACCCAGGAGCATCTCAAGAGGGTCTACGCCAGCTTCGCCCTCTGCATGTTGGTGGCGGCCGTGGGGGCGTACGTCAATGCAGTGACCCACCTCTTCCAGGTGAGTGCCCGTGGGGCGCCACTGGCCCCCCCCCCAGCTCGCACCCCCTCTGCACGGTGCGATGCTGGGTGCCCGTCTGCCTCTCACCCCACAGCTGAGCCTCCTGACGGGCCTGGGCGCGCTGGGGCTCATGATGTGGCTCACGGCCACCCCGCACAGCCGCGACACCGAGCGCAAGAGGCTGGGGATGCTGGCGGGCTTCGCCTTCCTCACCGGTGGGTGGCACCGGCGACCCCCCCAGGGCCCCGTGGGGAGCGGGGCTGAGAGCCCCGAATGGCTCCGGTGACGCCCGCCTCTGTCTTGCAGGCATCAACCTGGGGCCGCTGCTGCAGATGTGCATCTCCATCAACCCCAGGTAGGAGCAGCCCCCCCGCTCCCGGTGCCCCCCCATTGCCCCCCACGCCCCATTCACCCCTTGCTCTCTCCCCCAGCATCATCCCCACCGCCTTCCTGGGCACCGCCACCATCTTCACCTGCTTCTCGCTGAGTGCCCTGTATGCCCGGCGCCGCAGCTTCCTCTACTTGGGAGGTGAGAAGGACCAGGGGGGGTCTGGGGGCTCCCCACGGCAGGGCAGGGCCAGGCCTCACTCCCTGCCTTTTCCCTGCAGGATTCCTGCTCTCCGGCCTCACCCTGATGCTTCTCTCCTCCCTGGTTAACGCCTTCATGGGATCCACTTGGCTCTTCACGGTGAGTGAGGTCCCTTCTGCCTGCCAGGAGCCCCTCATAGGATGGATGGATGAACGGATGGATAGATGATGGACAGATGGGTGGATGGATGATGGAAGGATGGATGATGGACAGATGGGTGGATGGATGATGGAAGGATGGATGATGGATGGGCAGATGGACAGATAGATGGATGGATGATGGACGGGTGAACAGATGGATGGACATCAGCTCCCATCTACTCCTATCTAATATCTCCATTTCTTCCCACAGGCCAACCTCTACCTGGGGCTGATGATCATGTGCGGCTTCGTGCTCTTTGACACGCAGCTCATCATTGAGAAGGCGGAGAGCGGGGACAAGGATTACATCTGGTGGGTGCTGGGGGGATGCAGGATGGATGGGATGGGATGGGATGGGATGGGATGGGATGGGATGGGATGGGATGGGATGGGATGGGATGAGATGGGATGAGATGGGATGGGACAGCCCCCCCTGATCTCATCCCCCCATCCCATAGGCACTGCGTCGATCTCTTCCTGGACTTTGTCAACATCTTCCGGGAGCTGCTCATGATCCTGGGCATGACCGAGGTGGGTGATGGGGCCTGGGCATGGCCTCGGGGGGACAAACCCACCCCTCGGAGCCCCCCAGTGCCCAACCGCCCCCTTTCCTCCCGCAGAACAAGAAGAAGGAGAAGAAGTGAAGCGGCTCCAGGCTGAAGTGGAGCCGTCCCCCTCTCATTCCCACCCCATCCCCATCCCTGTCCCCATCCCACCCATCCCCGTTCCCTCTGGTCCATTCCAGGGTTGCGCTTTGCTGCTGTGAGCAGCCGGAAGCTTTCGCCTCTGTGGGTTTTTCTCTTGTTCAAGCTTTTCTTTGATTAGAAACCGGCCAATTTGTGGATCCTGCTGGAATTTGGCTCTCCCCAAACCCCCATTTCCCACCTCCCCCCCCCCGCCCTTATCCCAGGTCCCGTATCCCACAGCTGACACGTTCCGGAGCTTTCCAGAGTCACCGTGACCCCGCGGTACCCGGGATGGGTGGGGGGGGCGGCGGGACCTGCCTGCAGCCAGATTCTCCTTTAGTGCCAAGAAATCCAACGGGAAGGCAGCGGCGGGGCCGGCGCGATCCCGATCCTGCCGCCGCCTCTCTTTGTACACCAGGATGATTCAATAAACGCTCAGAATGGAACCCTCAGCCCCATCCCCGTGTCCATCCCTGTGTCCATCCCGCGGGCAGAGACCACAGCGGCTGCACAAGGACTATATAAATAAACGGGGGGGGGGCACGAGGGGGGGGCATCTTTATTGAGTTAAAAACCCGGCGGCGGGGGCTGTACACGGCGATAGCACCATTGGAGACAACCGGGTGATGGGGGGGGGGTAACGGGGCACCGGGACCCCCCCATCCCGGGTACCGGGGAGCAGGGCCTGGGGGGGCTGTGGAAGACGAGCGAGCGCGGCCGGGGGGGGGGCTCAGCCCTGGCTGCCGCAGGAGGAGAGGCTGTCATAGAGGGAGTCACTGAGCGACTCCGAGTGCTCCAGCCCGGGGGGGCCGCGGCCCCCGTCCCGCGACGCCGCCTCGGTGCTGCCCTCGTCCCCCACGTCCGAGGCGCTCGGGGTGCGGCTGCTGCTGGCGCTGAGGGCGGGCGGCAGCGGCGCCTCCGGGGACGCCCCTCGGTGCGCGGCGGGGCTGCAGGCGGGCGCCTGCGGGGAGGGGAACGGCGCGGTCAGTGATGGCCCCCCCCGCTTCCCATCGGTACCAATCGCACCGCGTTCCCCCCCCCTTCCCCTCCCGTTACCAGTGGGGGCCGGTGCAGCCCCTCCAGCCCCGCCGCGGGGCACAGGAAGGGGTCGGCGGCGCCGCAGGCTTTGGCGTTGGGGAAGGTCCAGTTCTTGCTTTGCTGGACGCGCCGCGGCTTCCCCGCATCGGCACCGGCGTCTGGGGGAGGGAACAACGGAACTGGGGGGCGGTGCGCTCTGCAGGGCCTCCCCATGACTCCCAATGGGGCGCTGAGCACCCCCCCACATAGCACCTTGTCCCCACCGCTGACCTGGGGGCCCGGCGCGGTGGCCCGGGGTGGCCGGGGGCCGGCAGGTCGGGGTGCTCCGGTGTTTGGGGGGCACCAGCAGCTCCTCGGCGCTCGGAACCTCCCGCTCCAGCGTCCGGGCCTTGCGTGGAACCTTGGTGCTGGCCGGTGGCCGCCCCGGTACGGCCCCAGGGGGCAGCGGCTCGGGGCGGCCCCGCGGCTTTGGGGTGCTCTTAGCGGGAACCCCCCCATAGTCAGGGGGCGGGAAGGTCCCGATCCCGCTGTCCAGTGTCCGCGTCAGTGACCCACAGGCTGCAGGCACAAGGGGAGAAGGAATCAGTGCGGGGCGGGGGTGTCCATCCTGGTGCCCCCCATCCCGCCCTATCCCACCCCCGGCGCCCCCTCACCGGCGAAGTGCTGCGACGTCCCCGACTCAGACAAGCTCTCATCCGAGGGCAGCTCGTCCCGGAGCCCCACATCCGGCACCTATGGGGAGATGCGGAGGGTGAGCAGCTGCGGGGGGGGGGCGATGGGGAAGGGGTGTAGGGCCTGGGGGGGGGGGGATCCTCACCTTGTCGGGGGCCTCCCGCAGGTGCCCCACGATGCCGTTGCGGGGCGGGCGGCAGAGCCGGGGGTCTTTGGCGTCGGGGGGGACCCTCCGGAGGTCGCAGAGCTCCCGCTTGTGCTCCAGGCGGCTCTCGTAGGGCGCGTCCTTCCCGTCCACCCTGTGGAGCGCACAGCGTGGGGCGGGCACCCCGGACCCCCGCACCCCCCCCCCGCCCCGCAGCGGGCACTGACCGGTCCAGGAGCTGCTGCATGAAGGTCTCAGCCGTCACCTCCTGGTACAGCACCGGGAGGGGCCCGGGGCCGCGGGGGGCGCCGCGGGGCCGCCCCTTCTCCAGCGCCAGCCCCTGCAGGAACGCGTGCTCCTCCCGCAGCGCCTTGCGCAGGTCCTCGGCCTTCTCCATCAGCTTCGAGATGTTGAGGCTCTCGGCCTCCAGCTTCCGAGCCGCCAGCTTCACCTCGCGGCGCAGCGGGGCCGGGGTCCCGGCCCACTCCCGCCCGCGGCCGCCGTCCCCGCGGCGGCTCAGCGCCGGCAGCTTGCTCCGCCGCAGCCCGAACCAGCTGGCCAAGCCCCCGGCCGCCTTCCCCTTGGCCTCGGCCGCCGGCGCCCGCTCCTGCCCCTGCAGCCGCAGCACGTTCTCCTCGATGCCCTTCATCACCTTTTCCTCGATGGCCGAGTGCGCGGGGGCGCCCGGCAGCGGGCCCGGACAGGGGGGCTCGGGGGCCGCGGGTGCTTTATGGGGCCCCGCCGCCGCTTTGGCTCCCGCCGGCTCCTCGCCCCGCGGGGCTTTGCCGGCGCCCGCCTTGGTGGGCAGCTTCGTGGGGCTGCCGTGGGGGCTGCGGGGGGCTTTGGAAGGGGGCGCCGGGGGGGCCCGCGGTGGGGTCCTGCCGCCGGGGGGGCGCCCCTTGCCCCCCGCCTTGCCGGGCTCCCCCATGGAGCCGGAGGAGTAGCACCGCGCCAGGGGCTCCCCGGCGTGCACCGGCTCGGGGTGCTTCAGGCTGCCCCCCAAGCCCCCCCCTCGGGACGGGGGGCGCAGCTCAGCCCCATGGCCCCGCTCCGGCCGGCCCGGGCCGGGGGGCTCCCGGCCTTCAGCCCCCCGCAGCTTGCCCAGGGCCGCCAGGCGCTCCTTGAAGGGGAGGTAGCCGGGCTCGGGGGGCTTCTTGCCGGGGCGCCGGGACGGGGCCGAGCCCCCCGTGCCCCTGCGGGTGCATGGGGGCGAAGCTGCCGCCCGCTCGGCGCCGGCCGCGGGGCCCGGGGGCTGCTCGGCCGCCTCGTAGGGCCGGGCCGGGGGGAGGACGGGGGCCTTGGGGGAGCCGGGCTCGGGGGGGGCATCGGGGGAGGCGGCTCTGGGGGGGGCCTCGGGGTTGCCGCTGCGACACGGGATCCTGGAGGCCGGAGCGAGCTGCGGGCTGAGGCGCAGCCCCGCGGGGGGGGGCGGCAGCTTCAGCACCTTGGGGGGCGAGGGCAGCGCGTTCGGGGCCCCCCCGGCCGACAGCGGCGCGAAGCCCCCCTCGGGGCTCTCCTCACCCGGGCCGCAGAGCCCCAGGAAGGACGCGGGAAGCTCCCCTCCGCGCCGCTGTCGGGGGCCGCCCCCGAGCGCTTCCCCGTTGCGGCGGCAGCAGCCGGGCTCCCCCCGCAGCAGCCGCTCGGCCAAGGCGCTGAGCCCCAGGCGCTCGTCCGGGGAGGAGCAGGGGCTGCCCTCGGCCCCCCGCCACCCGCCGGCAGCCCCCGGCGCCCGCAGCGGGCACAGGGCCCAGGCCGGGGCTGAGCAGGGCTCGGGGGAGCCGGGGGAGGCCGGGGGGGGGCCCAGCAGCGGGTCCGACTCCTCCAGCTTGCGCAGCACCTCCAGGATCTGCGCTTTCTTCTTGAAGAAGGGGGAGAGGGCGTCCAGGGGCGCGGGGCTGAGCCCGGGGCTGCCCGACGGCACCGGCGGCATCACCTGCAGGGGCCGGGCACCGTCACCCCCCCGTGCTGGGGATGGGGGTACAAGGGGCAGATGGGCCTGGAAAGGGCGATGCCACGGCTCAAGGCTGGGGACACCGGAGGGGAGGACACCATGGACCCCAAAAAGGGGGGGGTACCACGGGCTGGGGGAGCCATAATTGCGGGCAAGGCAATAGCAGGAGCTTGGGGAGGGGTAGAACGGGACGGGGGGGTCCGAGCCGCTGGTACCCACCTCTGGCAGCAGGAGGCAGCACCCGGGGGACAGCGGGGGGGGCGGCTGCTCGGCACAGCCCGGCTCGGGGCTGCTGGGGTCCTCCAGGGGCAGCGGCAGCAGCTGGAGGAGGAGGTGGCACCGGGTTAGGTTTGGGGGGGAGGCTTTGCCCTGTGTGTGCGGTCCCCCCCCAGCCCCGGCCCTACCTGGGGCAAGGACCCGGCCGAGAGCTGCAGCTTCTGCTGGAAGAGGTCGCTGAGCGCCTGGTTCTGCCGCTCCAGCTCAAAGACTCGCTTCTTCAGCTTGATGCACTCCTCCCGCAGGTCCTGATGGGGCGGGATGGGGAGGGATGAGCCAGGAGCCCCCCGTGTCCCCCCCTTAACACCCCCCCCCCCGACACCCACCTTCTGGTTGAGCAGCGCCTGCACCACGTGGTTGGCGACCTGGGGAGCAGAGGGGGGAGCCTGGTGAGGGCCCAGGCAGCCCCGTGCCCAGCACACGCGTGTTCACGCGTGTCCCATGCGCGTCCCCGAGATACCTCGTCCAGGCAGCGCTCGTACGTCTCCCGCTGGTTCTCATTGGCCTGGGCCAGGGCTGAGTTCTCTGCCTGGGGACAGCGGGGACAGCTCAGGGGGTGCCCCCCCAGCACCTCGGGCCCTGCTTTTGGGGTCTCCTCCTCTGTCCCCCCTCCCTGGGTCCTTGGTGTCCCCATCCTTGAGCCACGGCAGCGCCATTGCCAGGCCCAGGCCCAGGGCAGGTGATGGACGAGGACCCCCCCATCCTCTGCCCGGTGGGACGGGTGTCCCGGGCGGCAGGGAGGCGCTGCCCTGCCCCGCGGTGCCCTGGGCACTGGCTCCCGGCGGTCCCGGCCCCTCCGCACCTCCAGCTCCCGCAGCCGCTGCAGCAGCTCATGGCTGGTGCCCGTCTCGCTCCCGGCTCCCGGCGCCTCGGCCACGCTCTCCGACATTGCGGGCTGCGGGGGGACAAGCACCGGGCCGGGCTCCCCGCGTCCTCGCTCGGGGCTCCCCCGCGGCGTCACCTGCCCGGGAGAACGGCGCTGAGGGGGGGGAACGGGGCCTTGGGGAGCCCCGGCGCTGAGCCCCGACCCCACCGGTACCCGGAGCCCCTCCCGGGCGCGCAGGGGCGCTGGGACCAGCCCCGGTCCCCGCACACGGGGATGTGCAGCAGCCCCGCGGCCCGCACCGGGACCAGCCCCGGCGCACCGGGATGTGCAGCCTCCCCCCCCCCCCCCCGAGGGGCTGGCACCGGAACGCGCAGCACCCGGTGCACAGGACCCCGGGTGCAGATGGGCCCCCCCATCCCGGTGCCGCACACCCCGCTCCCACCGGGGCTCCCCCCGCCGCCGGTGCCGCTCGCCTCGGAACAGGCACCGGCCCCGGGTACCGGCCCCGCGCACTCACGCCCGCGGCTCCCGGCAGCGCCTCTCGACCCCGTTCAGCGCGGCCCCGGGGTCGGTCCCGGCGGCAGCGGAGGCTCCATCCCGGCCCGGCCGCGCTATTGTTGGGAGGCGGCGGCCACGGCTCCGCCTTCCCGCCGCGGCCGGGGAGGAGCCGGGGCCGCCACCGCCTCCGGTGCGCGGCTCCGCCAGCGCCGGCCCCGAGGAACCGGCGCGGGGGGGACCGGGGCAGCGGGGACCGGAGGCAGAGGAAGCACCGGGTACCCCCGGGGGTAAAAGACGCCCCATGGAGAGGGACGCCCTTGGAGCACGCCTTGGACGAGGACCCCCGGAGCCTGAGGACCCCTCGGGGTGTCGCCGGGGCTCCAGGCAGGGACCCCGCACCCCAACGAACGGGACCTGGCTCCGGGCTCACCCCAGCTCCGCCGCCTCTTCCCAAGCAACGCACCGAGAACAGCGAAACCACCGGAGCCTCCGGGCCCGCTCGGGGCACGGGCACGGGGGGCCCTGTGCGATGCTCCCCGCGCCCCCACCGAGCCCCATCCGGTCACCCCAACCCCTTGGCCCGGGTGACCTCGGCCTCACCCCGCGGGTGCCGCCGGTCCCTGCACGGCAGCACCGGGTCCCCTCGCTCGTGCTGCCCCCGTGTCCCCCCCCGGTAGGTCCCGGTGGTGCCCGCGGCTGCCCCGGCGCAGGAAGCGGCCGCGGCTCCGGCTGCGTCACGGGGGGAAGTGAGGCTCCGTCTGGAGGGGAAGAGCAGCCCGGCCTCCCCCTCCCCCCGAGCCACAACCGGGGGTCCCCATAGAGGGACGCTGCTGCCGGTCCCTGTCCCAGCACGGGGGCACCCAGAGCCCGGGCTGTGGCCCCATGGGTGGCTTTGGCTTGGCCCACACTGGGGTCATGGGGGTGACAGCCCCGAGTGCCCGCAGCCCCCCTGGGTTGCTCCGGGACGCGCTGGGGACAGCCCGGGGACAGGAGGATGCGCCGGGGACAGCAAGGACACCCCAGGGACAGGCGGGATGAGGCAGATACAGCCCTGGGGCAGCAGGGCCGTGCTGAGGACACATTGGACATCCCAGGGACACTGAGGACAACCGGGATGCACTGGAGACACTGGGGACAACCGGGATGCACTGGAGACACTGGGGACAACCGGGATGCACTGGAGACACTGGGGACAACTGGGATGCAGTGGGGACAGAGGGGATGCAGTGGGGAGAGCAGGATGTGGTAGAGACAACTGGGATGCCGTGGGGACACTGGGGACAGCAGGGATGCAGAGGGGACAATTGGGATGCAGTGGAGACACTGGGGACAGTCGGGATGCACTGGGGACAGCAGGAGGTGGTGGGGACAATTGGGATGCAGTGGGGACTCTGAGGACAGCAGCGATGCAGTGGGGACACTGAGGACAACCAGGATATATGAGGGACAGCAGGATGTGGTGGGGACAGTTGGGATGCACTGGGGACAACCAGGATACACTGGGTACAGCCAGAATGCAGAGGGGACAACTGGGGACAACTAGGATACACTGGGGACAGCAGGAGCACACTGGGGACAACTGGGATGCAGTGGGAACAGCAGGGATGCAGTGAGGACCCTGGAAACAACCGGGATTCAGAGGGGACAACCAGGATGCAGTGGGAACCCTGGGGACAGCAGGAGCACACTGGAGACAGCAGGGATGCAGGGGGGACCAGTGTGGGATGGAGGAGCACAGTGGGGGCCGCACCGGGGACAGGGGCAAAGCCGGGCTCAGCCGCCTCGTACCGGGACCCCCTGGAGTGTTCGGGGGGCACCAACCGGGGACACGGGGGGGGGGGGCCGGGACACCCCGCGCCGCTCCCCCCGGTCCCCGCCCCACAGCGCGGCCTCCCCGGGACCCCCCCCCCCCCCCGCCGCGGCGTGACCGGACTCACCGGGGGCTACGGCGGGGCGGCGGCGCGGGGCGGCATGGCCGGGAGCGGGGCTGGCGGCCGCGATGACGTCATGGCTCCACCGGGCCGGCTCCGCCCTGCGCCCCCGCCGCAGCCAATCCGCGCCCGGAGGCGGGCCCCGGTGCCGCCACCGCCTCCCACGGCGGGGACCGGAGATGCCCCCCACCCCCCCCCCCCCCCATCACACCCGGTTGCAGGACACGGACACGGCTTCCGAGCTCCATCGCTTTATTGCGGGGTTCCCCACGGAGCCCCCCCCCCCCCCGAGCCTGGACGGTGCCGGATGAGCCCCGGAGCCGCTCTCAGGTCCCGGTGCTCCCGGATCCAGGCCCCACGTTCCCGTTGGCAGCTCTGTGGAGCTCGGTGGAGGCAGCGGCTTCCTCCGGTGCGAGGGGGCTCTGCTGGGATACAAGAGGCAGGGGTGGGTGCAGGAGCACCGGGGATGGCTGCGAACCCCCCCGCCCCCCCCACCCCGGCTGCTGTTGCTCCTGCTGGAATTGGCAATTCCATGGGCTGGGAGCGCCAATGGAGCGGGAGCAAGTTCCTTTGGGCTCCTGCTTGAAACCGGCAGCTACAGAGAACTGGAGGTCTTCAGTGAGGGCCTCGGGGGGAGCCCGACAGCACAAGGGTGGCACTGAGCAGCCATGGAGCCAGGGCCCCCCATGGGTACAAGGCTGCAGGGCACAGAGCCCGTGCATGGGTGCATCTCCAACCCCATGAACGGGGCTCGGGGTCCCCAAGGCTCTGGGGCCGTACCTGCAGGTCGGGGCCCGGGGGGAAGCCGCTGCCCCGCTCCTCGGGCTCCTCCAGGCCCAAGATGTCGATTGCGGCCTCGGCCACGTCTCGCAGGGCCGGATCCAGCGCCACGGAGGGGTCGAAGAGCAGAGGGGAGGGGGGGCACTGGAGCCCATCGCCCACCACGTCCAGGTCCTGAGGGGACAGCACCCGGAGCCTCAGCACCCATGGAGGTGCCTCCCCCAGGAGCAGCCCCAAGGGCCCTGCTGCTGTTTGCTCTTTAACCCCATTTCCGAGGGGTTTAAGCTGAGCAGGGCAGAGTAATCCAGGATTAAACCCCTCATCTATTCCCAATGGGAAAAGAGGGGGAAAATCCTCTTTAGAAAGCCCCAAATAAGGATTTAAATGAGAGCACAGTGGGCTGGGGGGCTCTGAGCCTCCTGCACCCCCTCCCATCCCCAGCGACTCCTGTGCCCTAAGGCAGCAAGAACCAACCTAATCCCTTGGATCTGTGATGGGGGGGGGGATTGACCCCATAGAGCCCCACGGGGGGGAGGGGGGGGTGTTGCTGCCGGGCCCCCACTCACGTCACTGAACTCCAATGGGAGGCTCTCGGAGGGCTGCAGCTCGGCCGCGCTCAGGTACAGCTCCGTGGGGGCAGCCCCCAGCTCCTCGGGCCCCCCCGGGCCCTGCTCGGGCACGTACATGGGGGGGGGCAGGCGGAGGTGCAGGGGGCAGCTGGGCTCCGAGCCCAGGCTCAGGGGCACGGCCCTGGAGCAGGGAACGTCCTCGGAGCCCCGGCAGGGCCGGAACAGGGCCTGGCTCGGGTCCTGGCAGATGTCTGTGGATGGGGTCAAGGGAAAACACCCCCCAATGGGGATACCCCCCCCCCATCCATCCCAGGGCAGGAACCCCCCGGCACCCCTCGAATGGAGCTATCCCAAAGGCAGAGCTCCCTCCCGGTGCACACACACACACACACACAATGCTTTGGCCACAGGCAGGAGCTCGGTTCCGGTGTTCCCATCTTCCCACTGTATTTGCCTTCCCAATGGAAAACCTGTTCCTGCCCGAGGTGTAAATGGGATTTCCTGCCTTTAATCACAACCAGATCCAGCAGGAGCAAGGAGCTGCAGCCCAAGCCCGTCCCCTGCTCCATCTCCATGCAGATGACAACGCGAAGCAAGTTTTAGGTGGGAATCAAGGCTTCCAGGTCAGACACATCCATACCCCCCCCCCCCTTAAGCTTCCAGAGCCACATCCAGCAGGGAAAGGCACTGGGTTTAACCCACTTTCCTAAGCTCTCCCTAGGGCAGATGTGGAGGGGGAAGTGCCTCTGAGGGCACATCTGGATCTGTCTGGATACCTCAGCTCAAGCACTGCATTTAGAGGTAGCCATAAAGCCAATGGGAGAAGCTCCACCTGCATCCCAGCACTGGGCTCATCCCTTTCCTGCATGGGCAAAGCAAAGTGGTGCTGGTGGCAGGAGAAGCCGAGCCCAGGGAATCCCAACCCCACCCTGGAGCTCCGGCTGCTCCAGAGGGACCCAGCCTGGCTTTGGGGTGAGCTCCATGGGCACTGGAAAGGAACCACAGCAGCTCCCTGGGAGTCAGGGTGAGGAACACCCAAAGCCGAGCAGTGAATGCAGTTCCAGTGGGACCCAAACCTAGCCCAGGGCACATCCACACCACGCTACCTGGACACAGACCTGGAGACCCCGTTGGGATGCTCCGGGCAGAGGCTCCTGTTGCTCCCACACGAATTGGTTGATCCACGGGGATGGGAGCACCAACAGACCGGGAGCTGCTTCCTCTGGGCTCCTGTTTGAAACCAGCGGCTACAGCAAACCGCTGGCCTTGATTGAGGGCCAGAGAGCGGGAGGAGGAGGAAGGGACACACAAAGGCAGCAAAGAGGAACAGGGCATCAAAGGATACGGGTCAGGCAGTGCCTGGTCATGGGCAGGGATGGGTTGGAGCAGCGGACGTCATCCACGAAGGCCAAGCAGCGCTGGCTGGAGCGGGTGGTGTGGGCCTGCGAGGCAAGAGCAGGGTTCAGAGCTCACAGCACCCACGGCCTGGCTCCAGAGCACCCCAAGAGCAAGGGCTCCCCATCCTGCCCTTCTCCTTCCATTGACCAGAACTCTCCAGACCCGGCTCAAGCCCGGTCCTGGAATGCTTGAGACAGCTCCGACGGGGCCGCACTCAGCCCCATGCGTACCCAAGGGGCTGCCTTCGGGTCCCCAGGGAACCAACGGCATCGCCCCGCTATGGAGCGCACCCAGGACCCCGGCTCAGTGCTCACCTGCTGGGCAGCACCGTCCGAGGCCAGGGCGCGGCGCTCCCGCAGCTGCCGGTGCAGCAGCGCCTCCACCCCGTAGCGCTGCCGGTAGCGCCGCAGGCTCTTGAGGCGCTTGAGGCTCTCCCGCTCCTTGGCCAGGAGCCCCTCGGCGCCCGTCAGGAGGCTGCTGCCTGGGGGGAGGGAGGGGGGGGTCAGGGTCAGGACAGCCCCCCCCCCACCGCTTCCATCCCATTCCCTGGTACCCAGTGCTCCGGAGAGCATCCGATGCAGCCGGGTTGGGTGCATGAGCTGGGAGCGTAGCCGGTGGTGGCAAAGCAGATCCCATCCCAAACAGCTTTGAATCGTGGAACCATAGAATAGCTCGGGTTGGAAAGGACCTTGAGATCATCCAGTTCCAACCCCCTGCCATGGGCAGGGACACCCCGCTCTAAACCATCTCACCCAAGGCCTCGTCCAACCTGGCCTTGAGCACTGCCAGGGATGGAGCATTCACAACCTCCCTGGGCACCCATTCCAGTGCCTCAGCACCCTCACAGGAAAGAATTTCCTCCTTAGATCCAATCTAAACTTCCCCTGTTCCAGTTTTAACCCATTACCCCTTGTCCTGTCACTACAGTCCCTAATGAAGAGTCCCTCCCCAGCATCCCTATAACTCCCCTTCAGATACTGGAAGCTGCTCTGAGGTCTCCCCGCAGCCTTCTCTTCTCCAGGCTGAACAGCCCCAACTTTCTCAGCCTATCTCCATATGGGAGGTGCTCCAGCCCCTGAGCATCCTCGTGGCCTCCTCTGGACCTGTTCCAACAGTTCCATGTCCTTTTTATGTTGAGGACACCAGAACTGCACACAATGCTCCAGGTAAGAGCAGAATAAAGGGGAATCATGGAACTGGGCTGGAAAGGGCCTTAAATCACCCAGTCCATGGCAGGGACACCTCCCCAGTTAAGATCCATTGCGATTCCTGCAGCAGCACAGGGGTTTCTCCACATCCAGCTCCTGGTGCAAGGTCTGGAAGCTTCCCTGAGCTCTCCTGGCTGTAATTACAGGGCGAGAGCTGCTTTTCCATCCCTGGGTGCCTATAAAGAGCTCTACCAAATTGGTAGGTACCAAACTGCAGTTATTTTTATGCTCCAGGGCCTTTTCCAGCAGGAGCTATTCTGAGGCCATGCTGGAGCTGCATCTGTGCTAGCAGGGCTATGGGAGCAGAGCACAAGCGGTGGAACCAACCTCGGGTGCCCCACACAGGGCCTGACGCCTGAATTCATGCATTCAGAACCCCCAAAGCAGGAAATCCCAGGCAAAGCAAGCACTTTTGTCTCCCGATTCCCTTTGTAGTCCCATTTCCTGACAACTCTGAAGAGCAAAGGAACCTTCCCAAGGCCACGATAGCATCTGCAGGCAGGAGGCCAGCCCCAGCCACCTCCTGCAGTGGTTTCAGCCCTTCCCAAGGCAAAACCCCCCCGGTTGGAAGAGCCAAGCTCCAGGGGGGGCAGAGAGCTCCAGCACTTGCCTATGGCCTCGTGCTCGCCCTTGCGGCTGTGCAGGAACCGCCGCTTCTTCTCCTTGAGGAGGTGCTGGAGGCGCTTGAATTGGTCGATGTAGAGCGACTGGAGCCGGATGAGCTTCTCCCTCATGATGAGAGCCACCTCCTCGGCTGTGTACACCCCGGCGTGCCTGGAAGACACCCAGCAGGGCCCATTGGGATCACACAGAGCCATGGGGAGCAGCAGGAACACCTCACTGAGGAATGGAGACTCCGAACAACCAAGAAGTGGGAGCCCCAGGGGTAACCCCACCACCACCACCACCACCCACAAGCACCCCCTGGGGCCACCCAACCCACTTGAGGGGATCCTCCTGGTCGCTGTCGATGCTGTCGGCCTCGCTGTCCGGGTCCCCTCGCCACGTCTGCTCCACGGTGACCGGGTCCTGCTCCCCATCGCTCCAACTGTCCTCATCTATGGGATGCACGGGGACAGGACATCGTCCCTCATCCCGTGCCCCTGCACCAGCACAGCACACACAGGCACCCCACAGGGGCTCTGCGCCTGCACTGGACCTGCTGGAGCAAGTCCAGAGGGCACAGGGATGCTCAGGGGCTGGAGCAGCTCCTGTATGGAACCAGGCTGAGAACACTGGGGCTGGAGGAGAGCAGCTTCCAGTGGCTGAAGGGGGCTACAAGGACGCTGGGGAGGGACCAGTGATGGGACAAGGGGTGATGGGGTCAGGCTGGAAGTGAGGGTGATGGGACACTGGAATGGGTTGGATGGGGCTTGGAGCAAGCTGCTCCAGTGGGAGCTGGAGGAGCTTGAAGCTCCCTTAACCCCAGCCCAACTCCACGATGCCAGAAGGGGGTTCCTGCCCGTGGCCCTTACCCAGGATGCGAGTGGCTTCGCTGCGGCTGCTCTCCGCAGGCTGCGCGCCCGCCTCGGCGCGGGCGTAGGCGCTGAGCTGCCACAGGAGGTTCTCCCCCCCTGCCCCGGCCTGGGGCTTCCTGCCCTGCGCCTGCAGCGCCAGCGCGTTCCTCCGGGCGTGCTCTGCACACAGCGAGGTGCTGGGGGGGAAACACGGGCTCAGCACCGCCCCTGGAGGCCGGGCAGCGCCTCTGCCTGCAGGGACACGGCACTGGGGTGGCAGAGCTGGGTCCTTAAAGCCACTGGGGGGGGTTCTGCTCCCACCCATTCCCACCTCGCTTCCCAAGCTGGCCCACAGCAGCTCCTTGGTCCCAGAGGGGATGGGGACACCCAGCGGCCACACGAGGGGAGCTGGGCCCTGCTGCTGCGCTCCCCGAGCACCAAGGTCCTTCCCTCCCTGTTTTCTATGCACCAGAGCAGCACAAGCGCACGGGTTCCAGGAGCCTCAGCAGAGCTGCAGCTCTGACCACGTCCTGCATCACTGCAGCCACCTGAAGATGGACCAGCGAGCAGACAACCCCTGCTAGCTTCTAACCCCTGTTCTAGCTTCCAACAGCCCCTAAGGAGCGAGCCCCAGGGCGGCAGCAGCACCAGGAGAGGCCCCTCCTGCTCTCAGGGGGCACTCACCCATCCTTCTTCTCCGTCTTGGGCGCCGCGTTGGGGCAGCGCCGCCCGTTCTTGGCGGACACGTAACTGCACTGCTTGAAGGGGGCGGTCCTGTCCTCCAGGATGTGCTTGATGCAGAACTCCTGCCCGTCCAGGCGGGGCTGGGAGCAGGCCCGCGGGGTGAACGCGCAGGCCAGCGGCTCCTGCGCCCGCGGCACCGGCGGGAGGCGCCCGCGGCTCGATGGCAACACGTGGATGCGGATCCGGTTCATGCTTCCGAGCTAAGGAGGGACCGGGAGCTGATGGGGGGATACAGGAGTTCGCTATATCCCGGTGCTCACTCCTGCTCCCTGTACATCCCAACACACCCCGATGGCCACCTCTGGTCCCGGTCCATCCCGCTGCATCCCCCTTTTTCCGGGGCATCCCCTGCTCCCGGTGTGTTCCAGTACATCCCAGCACATACCGGTGCTCACTCCTGCTCCCGGTGAGCCCCCGATCCCGGTCCATCTCCCGGTGTTACACCCCCACCCCCCCCATCCCCGTCTCCCGTTCCCGGCCCATCCGGTCCATGCCCCCGTTCCCGGTGCCTCCCCCGCACATCCCGGTCCATCCGGTCCCTCCCGCCGCACACGTGCTCCACCGCCCACCCCGCGCCCCGGCGCCGCTCATGCGCAGTCCCTGCGCCCGCCTGCCCCCGGCGCCGCCATTTTGTCCGCGGGCGGCGGGAGTGAGGGGAACTCCGGGGAGCAGCCCGGGCAGCGCCAGCGGAGAAGAGGGCGGCGGGGGGAGGGGGGTTCCCGCAGCCGATGCGGGTGCAGGGACCGGGGCAGAGCGGAGGGGCCGCGGTGAAGCGCTGCAAGGGCCGCACCGGGGACGAGCCCCGCCGCCGCCATCTTACCTCTCTGCCGTCCGGCCTCCCTGCTGCTTCAGCGCACGGCCCGCCCCGACATCTCATTGGCCCACCCGGCAGCCAGTCAGCGGTGGGTGCGAAGGAGCCGGCGCCGGGCGTGGTTGGCGGGAGCAGCTGTCACTCCGCGGGGATTAGCCACGCCCCGAGGGTCACGTGAGAGCGGCGCGGCGGGAACCGCATACGCGTGCGCTGCCGGGGCAGCGGGAGAGGTGACCGCTAACCGGGGCTCCGCAGCCATAGAACCGGGTCGGTGTGGAACGAGAGCTCCCCGAGCGCACAGACACGAGGTGGGGGAACGCTGCTCCCTCCGGATCGGGCCCAGCACGGACAGCACGGGGCTGCCCTGCCCCAAAGAGCATCCTCACCCCAACAACGTTCAACACCGACCACCCCAAAGCAACCCCACAAGGCCCCGTTCCCATCGGTGGTGGGGCTGGAAGGGGGATCTGCAGCAGGGGCGGAGGGATGGAAATGGGCTGCCAAAAGCAGAGCAGCTCCATCGCCCCCGATCTCTGCCTTCCCCTTCATCTCCCCCTCCCCTCATCACCCCAATAACCACCCCCCCCCCAGATTAAAGGCAACGAAGCACTAAGGTATAAGTTACTGCTTAAATTATTTGTAAAACGTCTTAAATTTTCTGTGACATCTTTTAAATACCCCCCAGATCTCCCCCCAAACGTGTGTTCCCCACAAGGGGGGGGGGAGGGACTGAGCCCCCCATTAACTGCAGGTCAGTGGGGGGGTGGGAAAGGGAAGGAGCAAGGACCAGAGCAAGGGGGTTTGATCCTTTCACAGCTTCACCAACGCCCGCTCTAAATAGCAATAATAAAAGTTATATTATAATAAAATAGTTCTCTGGTGAGGCAGTGGAGCCCAAACAGCCCTTTGGGGGCAGCCCAGGGCTGCGGGGCCGATTCAGTAGTAAAAAGGGGGGGTTACTTAGGGAGAGGGGGCAGAGGGGGGGGCGGTTCTGATGGCAGCGGTGGGGGCCGCGGTTTGTCCGTGCTTGGGGCCGCTCTGGCACTGCTGGAAGCCCGGGGGGGGTTCAGGAGCTCCCCATAGGAGTGGAAGTCGAAGGCGGGCGGGGGGGTGGGCTGCATGCCCTGTGCGCTCAGCAGCGAGTGCAGCATGTTCACTGTGTCCTGGTAGTCACTGGCCTGGCTGGAGCTGTGCCCGTTGGCCCCCGAAGGCCCCTTGTCCAGTTTGCTGTGCGGCCCCCGTGCTTTGCTGGCAGCACCGAAGGGGAGGCCTCCCCCGTCCGTGGGGAGATGGGGATACGGGAAGGGCGCCCCGGGGCCTTTGGAGGCTTTGCTGCCTTTGGGCTGGTGCTCATGGGCTGCGGCGGCCGCCTCCTCGGGCAGAGGCCTCTTGCGGGAAGAGGAGGAGGAGAGGGGCCCGTAGCTCTTGTGGGGCACAGCCCCGGGCTGGCCACCGTGCTTAGAGTCCCCCGGGCGCTTGGTGCCGGCGCCGCTGGGCCCAGCGCCGAGCTGGGGGGGGAAGTGTTTGTGTGAGTGGTGGTTGTGGTGGTGGTGGTGGTTGGAGGAGTGCCCCTTGTGCTTCTCCTTGTGCTCCCGGGCCTTGGCGCTGCCCTCGTCCGAGGAGCCGTGTCTGTCCCCGCCCGGGGGCACCTTGATGCGCATCTTGATCTCCTCCTGCTTGGAGGGCAGCGGGCGCTCCCCGCTCACCGGCAGCCTCAGCTTCAGCGCCGAGCCCTTGTCCCCCTTGTCGGGGTTCTCGGGGCCGCCGATGGGGATCTTCAGGATGATGGGCGATGGGTCCCTATCCTGCACCTCCCGCTGCTGCTGCACCAGCAGGTTCTGAGCAGCGTAGGCGTACTGGGACCTCACGTTGGCCTCCATGTTCTCCAGTTGCCTCTTCTGTGCCGCCAGCTCCTCGGCGTGCTTGGCCCTGTACTCCTTGAGCGACACCTTGGCCGCCGGCGTGTTCTTGCTGCCCTGCTTCGGGTAGGGGGCCCCATCCTGCTGCTGCCCGGGGTGCTCAGCACCGCAGCTCTCGCTAGTCCGGTGGCTCTGCGCTGGCTCCAGCTTGGCCGGGGGGTACCAGTGCTCCTGCTGCTGGGCCGCATCACTGCTCTGCTCGCTGGGGGAGTCGGGGGCAGGCGGCAGCGCGGCGCTGGAGGACGAGGACATGCTCATGAGCCCCGCGATGTTCATGTCCGAGCTGTTGTTCCGGGAGATCATGCTGAGGATGGTCTGCTCCGACAGGCTCTCGTCGTCCCCGTGCTCGTCAGCCTTGGACTTCCTGGCTGCTTGGGTGGCCTGGGGGGCAAGGCAGAGCACAGGGTCACTGGGGCTGGCCCAGGGCTGCTGGGGGCAGGCCCCCACTTGGATCCGCTTTATCCCCATCCCTCCCCATGGGGGAAAAGCCCCAGGCCAAGGTGGTGAGGTTGAAACCTCATCATCATCTTCTCAACAGAGCTCAGTTTGGTGCTGAAGCAACACCCTGCAGAGGCAGTGCCCCCACTGCCCCCAGTACCGCACTCACACTGAGGTGCCACACACAGGACCCCAGAGCAGGTCCTTACCCTCCAGTTACGGATGCGCTTGAGCCGGCTCGGAGTCTTCTCCAGGATCTGCAGGAACTCATGGGTCAGCTCTGCAGAGGAGACACAAAGCCAGGCCCCTTGGTCAGACCCAGCCAGAGCAGCACTCGTCAGGGCACCCCCTACTCGCTGTTGGATGCAGCTCCCGCTGCCATGGAGCTACTGCAGGAGGGGAACACTGCGAGCCACCATCACTGACCACATTAAACTCATCTCCCTCGGTGCCTTTTGCCATCTCTGGTGGACCACAGAAGCTGCTGCTGCACTGAAACCTTGGCAAGACCTGAAGCCCTGGAGTCCCTGCAGTGCCCATGGGCCGGGGCTGAAGGCAGACCCAGGACCAGAGATGCCAACACAACGGAAGAGCCTTTGTTTTTTTGGGGGGAAAACCTCGCTCCCAAACTTACCATCTAAGAGCTCCAGAGTTACAGTGCCATCAACGTATTCCCACCAGTGCTTCCCGTCCGTGGAGACTGGGATCTCCCAGTTGGACCACTTACAAGCCAGGTGGATACAGACGCAGGCCACAACGGGAGGGGTGTACTGCAGGCTGAAGGTGGTCAGATGCAGGCTGACGGCACCAGCAGGGAGAGAGAAACAGAAAGCCATGAACTCCCAAGCCTGACCCTCAGCACTCACCAGCGCCCACTGACACCACTGCAGGGGCTGGGGACACAGGGGGGGCACCCCCGCGGGGTCCTGCCCCCGCTCCAACCCTGCAGCCTCCAGCCCTGCTCCTGCTGGGGCTCCTTTGGGTGCAGGCAGCTCTGGTCAAGGCTCTGCCAGCCCCGAGCTCTGCTGTGGGGGGGCTCTGCTCCAGGCAATTCCAAGCGCAGCTCCTGGGCTGGCTCTTCCCAAGCTGAGGAAGAGCCCTGAAGGTGTGGGGGGCTCCAATGGGGCAGCTCAGACACCAGCACTGGGAGGTGGGAGAGGGGAGCAGCGATGCCCTCAGCACGCATCCTGCTCTCTACCTGCAGGAGTGCATGGAGCACCCCATGGGATGGCAGGACCTGCAGCTCCTCATCACACTGGGATCAGGCCACACTGCTCAGGGCAATGCAGGGGGACAGGGAGCTGCAGCTCACACTGCTGCTCCACACCAAGAAGCCAAAGGCAGGGAACTGGGAGCCTCTGGCCACTCTTCCAAAGTGGAGCTGGGTGCTCAGGGAGCCTGAACCCTGCCCCGGGATGATGCCACAAGGAAATCCAAGTTAAAACACCTCTATCTGCCTCATCAATCCAATTCCTCGCTGTGGGCTCTCCTGGCATCACTTTAAGGCCGCACTGAGGCCGCGTTTCCTCCTTTCCACCTGGGTTTCTTTCCATTCCAATCTTAACCCGTGATTCCATTGCTGCTGCAGGGATAAAACCCAGCTCAGGGCTGCCTTTCCCACACACACGTCACCAACAGCACCTTCCTCTGGGAAACCCACATCGTGCCCATGGATTAGAGACCACCTTCAACCGCTCACCCCAGGCCATGGGCTGGGAACCAGCCAATGCCAGGGCCTATCCCAGCTTTTCCCTCCCGTCCCACCGCTCCTGGGAGCTCTCTTCCATGCCCACACCTCACTCTGCTCCCAACGTGAGCTCCTGAAGCCGCTCATTCAGGGAAAGCAAGGCTGGAAATGCTGGGAACAGCAGGATCTAGGGCCAGCCCCCCACAGAGCATTCCTGATGGGAAACCCAAAGGCCTTCTGTTGCTTCCAAGGCTCAAGAACAAGACTTTTCCCTTGTGAGGCCTCACGCCTGCATCCAACTGCCCCTTTCCCCTCTACATCAGCCTTCTGGGGTACAGCCAGTCCCTGGTGCCAACCTTCACAGCCCCACTTCAGGGCTAACTCTGCAGTGAGACCCCATCCATGCATCTCCAGCCTCCCTTTGTGCTTTGGGGGGGGGGTTTGAGCCTTCACCACCACCTCACGCCCCATAAAGCAGGTTCTGAGCATCCCATCCTGATGCTGCAGCTGGTTCTGCGCAGGAGGAAGGGCTCAGAGCCAACACCACTGGCTCAGAGGCTGCCCCGTGCCTGGGGTCACTGGTGCCACTGGTGCCACTTCTTCTCCAGTTAAGACCCTCTGCCAAATATGAAGCGATTGTAAAGCAATAACCTGTTGGTAGCCATGAAATAGGAAGTTTGGGCCAAGTCCTTGCTGGCTGCAAGAGAAAAGCAAAGAGCAGGGGTCAGTGTGTGTGAAGTGACCGCTATCACCACCTGCAGCCCAACCCAGGCCTCTCAGCACCACACAGACCCACAACAGTGCGAGTGCCCCGCAGCAAGGAGGGGTTCAGAGCTCGGTGCACGCGGAGGGCGCTGCTCTTGGGGCACTACAAGGGGTTTCCAGCACCCAGGTGAAGTTCTGCAGAGGAGCGGCCCCGTCACTCACCTCGCACCAACTGCGTGCACTTCACCACGTGGGTATGGGGGTGGTCGATGGTGATCTCAAAGCCTGGAAAGAGAAGACAATGAAGGCACCAGAACCCCATGGACCTCCTCGAGGAGGCTCCCTCCCTTCCCTGCTCCGCTCGCAGCCACAGGACTTGGGGTCCTCACTCACAAACCCCAGAGCTGCTGCTCCCAGGCTTCCAGAAGTAGCTTGAGAGCCCTCAGTGCACACAAACCAGCACAGCACCAGCAGGACAAAGCCTCTCGGTGCAGCTGGGAGGAAGGAGGGGACAATGGCATCTGCTCAAAGGCATCTGCCACCCAAAACGCTAAGAGGAAGCAGATGCCTTCCCTTTGAAGGAGGCTCCAGCACTGCAGAGCTTCAGCCTCGCTGCAGCTTCCCATTCACTGTGGGCATGAAGCTCCAAAGGCACGGGGGAAGTTCAAACCAGTCCATGTGTGCAGCAGATTTGGTTCTTTCCATGGGGAATATTCTAGAAGCAGCAGGATGGTAAAAGGGCAAGAGGAGAAGCTGCAGTTTGGCCCCTGCTTTGCCAGCACCAGCCCCTGTGGCCCTGGTGGCCTCTGCGGCCCTGCAACGAGGGAGGCCCCGCTGCTCGGCTCAGCACAAGCTGCTTCCTGAGCGTAGGAATTATGGAGCATTATGGAATTCAAGAGGACAACGGGACCTGAGCAGCACAAAACCTGCTTTGGGAGGGGGGAAAAGAGACTTCAGCTCCTGCGTTACACTTGAGACAAGGAGAACAGGAGAAAGGGGGTGGAAAGGAGAGTTTGCTGCCTGGGCTCCTGCTGTGGAGAAGACCGTGGTGCTCTGCAGAGCATTCCTGGCTCTGGGAATGCCGGGCTGCTTGGGAACACTCACCCAGGGTCTGCAGGATGATGCTCTCTAGAATGACCAGGTCTTGGGCTTGCTGCAGGTAAGCCTGGGGTGAGAGGACACCGCGTTACCCACAGTGTAAGTGCACATCACCACCACCACAGCAGCAAAGGGGGAATCCCACTGGAATGGGGGAACTGGCCCAGATTCCCGGCTGGAAAGAGGCAGCAGTGGCCCAGCTCCTGCTTGTCACAGGGAGCCTCTCAGTGCTGGTCCCTGACACTGCATGGGCAGACAGGGATTTGCTGCTTGATTTCCCTTCAGCTTCCCTGGATAAAGCTGCTCCAGAACTAGGGAATCAGCGTGTGGGGAGAGCAGAGAACAGTCACATCCACACCCTGCTCCGAGCACACAAACAGGAAAGAGAAGCCCTTTAGACACTGAGCGTCCCCATCCCACCCTCCCCACCATTCCCATCTCCCCACTCACCTCGCTCTTGGGTTCCAGAGGCGGTTCCAAGGGATGCAAACAGGCACGAGCCACCTTGATGACATGTTCCAGCTTCCGAGGCTGCTCCTCCACCTTGGCTGCCAGGAAGAGCGCAGCTGGAACCACGGCCTGCAGAGGGGAGAGCCAGCAGTTTTCCAAGAGTTAGGAAGTTCAAGCTTCAAGCAACAACACAAGGCTCGTTCCTCACTTATAAACCAGGTAACGAAGCAAATCCAACCCCCAAGAGAGAACAGGGGCTCCCAACAGCTCCAAAGGGGCTGCTCCCCCCGCGTCACCCAAGGGGGGTTCCCCGCAACCCCCGGCCCCAGCACTTACGTTGCGGTGGAACTGGGTGAAGGACTGCACCATGTAGAAGCGGTGCATGTACACGATGGCCGTGTTGATGGTGAGCTGAGACCTGATGGCGCCGTTAAGGAAACACACAGAGACCCAGCGGCACCCGCACCTCCCCTTCACACCCCCTTCAGGCCCCGGTGCACCCGGGCCCGGCCCAGGGCCTTCCGCTCCGGAGCTCCCCGCCCCGCAGCGGCGGTTACCCGAGCGCAGGCCGCGCGGCCTAGCGCAGGCCGGATACACGTTGAGGCGCTGCCCCATGTCCTGCAGCAGGTTAGCCGCCTGCTGCCGGTACGAGAGCTCCTTGTCGGGGTCGAGCCCGGCGCGGCGGGAAGGGCTCCGGTCCAGCTGCTCGCGGCTGAAGTACCAGCGGCGCCCCGCCGAGCCGCCGGCCCCGCCGCCCGCCGCCGCCTCCATGGCGCTCTGCGCCCGCGCACGGAGCGACGCACGCACGCACGCACGCACCGCTACGCGATTGCGTCAGAGTCGCGGCGGCGCGCACGGACGGGAGGGGCACGGGAGAAGAGCCGCGCGTGCGCATTGGGCCTCGCTTCCGGTACCGGCCCCCCCTTACTCGGTACCGGGACACCCCCCTCCGGTACCGGGACCCCCCTTACCACACCCCCCCCACCGCACACACCAGGCCCCGGCTCGTATCCAAAGTGAGTTTTATATATAATTTATCTGTACACACATAGGACAAAGTACCTCAGGTCTGTGCTGGGGTGGGGGGAGGCTAAGGAGAGGGGAAACCGGTGCCCCCCCTCCGGTTCTTGCCCCCCCCAAACAGCGAAAAGTAAGGAAAAAAAAAAAAAAAGAGGAAAAAATAAAAGTCACTTCATGATTTTTTTGCATTTAAAAGGGGGGCGCCCCCCCCCACTGGCAGCCCCGGGGCTGGGGGGGGGGGCAGCGGGGGGGTCACGGCGGTGCTTGCCCTGCCCCCCCCCGCAAGCGGCACTTGTTTGGCACGTGGAGGGGGGGCACCCCCAACCCCCCCCAAAGCCCCGGGGGGGGCCATCCTTTGGCACATGGGGGGGGTCAGGGGGGCTGCACCTTAACCCCCCCCCCATTCAGCACCCACATTGGGGCGCCCCCCCCGTGTCTGTTTCTCCCTTTGTTTCTGGTTTAAATGGGGGGAATTGGGGGTTCCCTCATTGGGGGGGGCCCTAACTCCCCCCCGGGCCGGCATTGAGGAAGTACGTGGTCATCTCCCCCTTGCCCTTGACCTTCACCAGCCCCCGGCACTCCAGCACGTAGCCCTTGGCCGCCAGCACTTGGTACAGGTCCGTGGTCACCTAAAGGGGGGACAATGGGGTGATGGGGGGCAGTGGGGTCATGGGGGGGCAATGGGGTGATGGGGGGAAATAGGGGGCAATAGGGTGATGGGGGGCAATGGGGTGATGGGGGGCAATGGGAGCAATGGAGTGATGGGGGCAATGGGATGATGGGGGGCAATGGGGCCAATGGGAGCAATGGGATGATGGGGAGCAATGGGGTGATGGGGGCCAATGGGAGCAGTGGGGTGATGAGGGCAATGGGATGATGGGGGGTGATGAGGGCAATGGGGGGCAATGATGTGATGGGGTCCCAGGGTGGTCCCCACTGACCTGGATGCGGTCAGGAACGCCGGTGCTGTCCATGCGGCTGGAGACATTCACGGTGTTGCCCCAGATGTCGTACTGGGGCTTGCGCGCCCCAATCACCCCCGCCACCACCGGGCCCATGTTGAGCCCTATGGGGACAGGGGTCAGTGGGGAGGAGAGGAGAAAAGGGTAGGAAGGGGGGACAGGGAAAGGGAAAGGGGTAAAGAAGGGCTTGGGAGTGCTTGGGGGGGCAAAGGGGTGTGCAATGGCAAAGGTGGAGGGATCTATAAGGGCTGGATAAGGGGTATATAAAGGGTATATAAGGAGGTGTATAGAGGGCTTTATAAGGAGTATATAAGGGGCTGTATAAGGGGTATATAAGGGGTGTATAAAGGGGGTGTATAAAGGATGGATAAAGGGTGTAGAGAGGGGTGTATATAGGGTATACAAGGGGTGTATAAAGGGTGTAAAGTGGGGTATATAAGGGAGTATATAAGGGTGTAGAAAGAGCATACAACAGGAGCTATAAAGGGCATCTACGGGAGCGCATCGAGGGTCTATAAAGGGTGCATGAAGGGGGTGCGAGCTCTGTGTGTGCCCGGGGCAGGCGCATGCAGGGGGTGCAGGGGCCCGGCGCGGCGCGGTGCTGACCGATCTTCATCTGGAAGTTGTTGAAGGAGTGCTCGTTGATGTACTTCATCTGCTCCATGAGCTGCATGGCGTAGTCGGCCAGCGCCGCGATGTGGCTGCGGCCCTCGCGGTCGTACGTGGCGGCGTTGAGCCCCGAGGCTGCCATGTACGTGCTGCCGATGGTCTTGATCTTCTCGAGCTGCCGGTACCGCTGCTCGCTGATGATCTGGGGGGGCCACGGCGGGGCAGTGGCACCGGGGACTGAGAGCTCCGTCCCCCTGTGCACTGTCCCCTGCACCCCATCTCCTGCACACTGTCCCCTGCAGCACATCCCTTGCACCCATCCCTGGGTGCTCCATCCCCTGTCAGCATTGTCCCCTGCACCCCATGTCCTGTACCCTATCCCCTGCACCCCATCCCTGTGCTCTCCATCTCCAGCACACCCATCCCTGTTAGCTCCATCCCTGCATCCTGTCCCCTGCACCTTACCCCCTGCATCCCATCCCCTGCACCCCATCCCTGTGCTCTCCATCTCCAGCACCCCCATCCCTGTTAGCTCCATCCCCTGCATCCTGTCCCCTGCACCTTACCCCCTGCATCCTGTCCCCTGCACCCCATCCCTGTGCTCTCCATCTCCAGCACCCCCATCCCTGTTAGCTCCATCCCCTCATCCTGTCCCCTGCACCTTACCCCCTGCATCCCACCCTTCGCCCCCCGCAGCGCCCCCGTGCCACCTCATCGAAGTCGGCGATGATCTCGTTGAGCAGGCGCAGGCACTCCACGCCCTCGTTGTTGGCCTCCAGCTCCACGTAGAACTCGGAGAAGTTGCTGATGGACGCGAACATGACGGCCACGCACTCGCAGGACTGGTAATAGAGCTCGTCGTTGCGCCGCTCGCGCGCCAGGAAGTGCGCGGCCACGTCCTTGGGCAGGATGTTGTGCAGCAGCCGCCGGTTGTAGGCCTGCAGCTCCTCCATCTCCTCCTTCTCGCCCGTGGCCTGCGGCGCACAGCACCCGTGGAACGGGCACCGGGGCCTCAGGGCTGACCATGGGATTGGGCATGGGGCGCTGGGATGGGATCAGTGCCAGGGCATGGGGATGGGATTGGACACGGGATAGGTTTGATCCTGGAGCACTGGGATGGAATCAGTGCCAGGGCATGGGGATGAGATCAGGCACAGGGATGGGGATGGAGATCACCCCCAGGGATGGGACCCGGGGTCATTCCCAGGGATGGGGATCAGTCCCAGGGATGGGGATGGGAACCACTCCTTGGGATGGGATCGGGATCAGGATCAGTCCCGGGGATGGGGATGGGATCGGGATCAGGATCAGTCCCGGTGCTCAGGGATGGGATCACTCTGTGGGGTGGGATCGGTTCCAGTCCTGCTGCCCCCCCCCTCACCCCCAGCTCCTACCTGGAGCTTCCAGAGGAAGTCGAGGCGCGCGGTGGACTCCACCTGCTGCGCGTGCAGGTACAGGGCCAGCGCGAAGAGCGCCAGCACCGCCGGCGTCACGATGCGCAGCGGCACCTTCCCCTGCGCCGCGCTGCGGGCACCGCACGGTCACATCCTGACCTGCCCAGGGAGCCTGACCTGCCCCAGGGAGCCTGACCTGCCCCAGGGAGCCTGACCTGCCCCGGGGACCCTCACCTGCCCCGGGGACCCTCACCTGCCCCAGGGACTCTGACCTGCCCCAGGGACCCCGACCTGCCCCAGGGAGCCTGACCTGCCCTGGGGACCCTGACCTGCCCCAGGGAGCCTGACCTGCCCAGGGACCCTGACCTGCCCCAGGGAGCCTGACCTGCCCCAGGGACCCTGACCTGCCCAGGGACCCTCACCTGCCCCAGGGACCCTCACCTGCCCCAGGGACCCTCACCTGCCCCAGGGACCCTGACCTGCCCCGGGGACCCTGACCTGCCCCGGGGACCCTGACCTGCCCCGGGGACCCTCACCTGCCCCAGGGAGCCTGACCTGCCCCGGGGACCCTGACCTGCCCCCGGGACCCTGACCTGCCCAGGGACCCTGACCTGCCCCAGGGAGCCTGACCTGCCCCAGGGACCCTGACCCCCAGGGACCCTCACCTGCCCCAGGGACCCTCACCTGCCCCAGGGACCCTCACCTGCCCCAGGGACCCTGACCTGCCCCGGGACCCTACCCCCCGGGACCCACTGCCCGGGACACGCCCCAGACCCCGACCTGCACCCAGAACCCTGACCTGCCCCAGGGACCCTCACCTGCCCCAGGGACCCTGACCTGCACCCAGAACCCTGACCTGCCCCAGGGACCCTCACCTGCCCCAGGGACCCCGACCTGCCCCAGGGACCCTCACCTGCCCCAGGGACCCTCACCTGCCCCAGGGACCCTCACCTGCCCCGGGGACCCTCACCTGCCCCAGGGACCCCGACCTGCCTCAGGGACCCTGACCTGCCCCGGGGACCCTGACCTGCCCCGGGGACCCTCATCTGCCCCAGGGACCCCGACCTGCCCCCGGGACCCCAACCTGCCCCCTGCCCACCCCAGGGACCCCAAACCCACCCCGGGGACCCTAAATCTCCCCCATCCTCACAGCACAGCCCCCCAGGAGTCTGCCCTGTCCCCACTGGTGCCAGGTCCCCACTCACCATCCACCCTGGGTCCCATTGAAGGGGGGCCTGTGGGGAGAGGAGCCAGGGTCAGTGATGGGGACCCAGCACCGGGGTAGGAACCCCCGGGGGGGGCACTGGGCACTCACAGGGCGTTGGCCACCACCAGCAGGTCAGCGTTGTCGAAGAGGGCGGCCTGAGGCCCCTCCACCAGCACCAGGTACGAGGCCTCGATGGCCACCATGAGCAGCAGCTTCCCGATGCTGCTGATGTGCAGGAAGACGGAGCAGGCCAAGAGGCTCAGCACCACGCTGTAGCTGAAGTACTGCAGGGACACCGCGGCATGGAGCAGCAGCCATGGGTGCCACTGACAGCACACCACAGCCACAGGTACCCTGCACCCATGGGTGCCACTGACAGCACCCCACAGCCTCAGGTACCCTGCACCCATGGGTGCCACTGACAGCACCCCACAGCCACAGGTACCAGGTACCCTGCACCCATGGGTGCCACTGACAGCACCCCACAGCCTCAGGTACCCTGCACCCATGGGTGCCGCTGACAGCACCCCACAGCCACAGGTACCCTGCACCCATGGGTGTCCCCAACAGCATCCCGCAGCCACAGGTACCCTGCACCCATGGGTGCCACTGACAGCACCCACAGCCTCAGGTA